TTAAAATCAGTACTTAACTGTATAAATTAGCATTACTTGGGAAACTTAACTGGTTATGAAATTTAGATTTTTTTTTCGCTGAATAAATTAAAGCCCAACTGATTTTCATAACCGGTTAAGCTTTCCACTTTTAAAATAAATATGAGATTACTAGTAGACTTAAAATATATTTATAATTTTTATAATTTTTTTTTATTATTTTAAAATTTGAAATCATTATTTTTAATCTCTAAAAAATAATAAATTTTAATTTTGATTTTTATAAAATATTTTATCTTTATTTTTCACCTTTTAAAATCTAAAATAACTATTCTTTTCATCTTCAATATTCATTTTAAGTAGATAAATAACAATTATTTTAAAGATTTATAACATTTTCTTAAGATGTCATATACTAACGTGTGAACATCATTAATAATAATCACTTAATTATATGATAAACATAAAAATGAATGATTAATCAAAATTACAAAATATTAGAAACTAAAATTAACGATTTAAATTTTAAAAAATAATTACAGAGACCAAAATAAAAAATAATTTATTTTACATAAATTTAAAACATATTTAAGGAATATTATGTGTAACTGATATAGAATCTATATTCATAATTAATGAAAAAGCACTTAAGCTGTGAAAAATAGCAATTGCATATGTGGCAGAGATTGAAGCAAAATAATGAAAGATAAAAGGTGAATTTGCTGGTTGATTTCCAAGTTAAGGACAAAAAGTTGCAAATTATCCATGGTATGAAATTCCACGTATTTAATTTGATATCCAAATAAAATAACGATGATAGAGGTAACAGCAACATGATAGGAACCTTCCTCATCGTTTCCTTTCCCTCCCATCGCATGCTATCACTCAAAAACTTATGAATAATTAAATTTTTGTGAAAATTCACACTCATGGATCCAGGGAGTGAAGCAAAGTACGCCACTAATGGCAAGCTCATGCTCGCTTCTACCATCCTACTCTTCTTTTCTCTTCTTTTCCTGCACCGATTGGGTGCCCGAGGAAGTCGTTGGAGGTGGTAGGCATCATCGTGGAGCTTGAAGGAGACCCGGAATCTGCGTCGGGTCGTGGACCCAGGTTATCATCGGATTAATTCCTGCATTTACGAGATATTTTGATTTTTGAAGCATGTTGGTTTTTTTAGTGGCGTCTAGTGCTGCTCACAAACTCTTACATTTCCTCTCTTCTTTACTTTGCACCGTAAGAAAGGAAGAAATGACAACATTATGTTTAATCATCGTCATAACAAGCACTTGTATTAAATTCAAGTTTAATACAAGATATCGCGCGTTGCATGAATGATATGATATTATGATATATAGTAGTATTATATGAAAGTAAAAAACTATCCTTTGCATTTGATAGCGACATCGTCACGGATGCACAAGATGCAGAAAACGAAATGAATTTTGTCTTCCAAAAGACATCATAAATTTTACATAAGGAAAATAATGGATACAGTTTGGTTAAGGTACTATATTATCCGTTTCTGTAATTGTGTTTGAAAAAAACATACTCGCATTAGCTTTTATATTTGTTCGGATATTCAATATCTTTGTATCCGTTGGACAACTATCTATATACCTATAATGCTCTTGCTTTTTGCATTTTACTTATGCGTAAAATTTATAGATCTATTAAAATATTATATAATAAGAAAATAAAAAATCTACTTTTAAATTATTCAATCACAACTTTAAATCATTCAAATTAATATAACTCATAACCCTTAATCAAACAACATTATAAATATAATCTTCTAAATATAAATTTTAATCAATTAACATTATAATTAATAGGAATAAAATAAGGTTAGTTAATTCTAACTTTAGCATACTTGAGTTTAATATGTCTTATTTACATGTTATAGCCATTTTTTAAGGTATGACTTCACAACCTATTTAAAAGTCTACTTATTTTGAAAGTTTATTTAACGCAACTTGTTTTATACAAAATTTATATTCGAACTATAGGTCTAAGTAGGCTAAAGATAGCAAACAAATGAATTAAATGATTTTCAAAGTTAGATTATAATGAATTAAATAAAAATAATTGATTAATTCATTTAGATACGCTAAAAAATTATTTAAAGATCTAATCCATTATATCCATTTAAGAAAAAAAAAATCATCCAAGTTATCCATTAACAATTTTATGAAGGATGAATGTGATCCATCCATGAAACTATGTTTTAAAAATTAAATAGTTTTTTTTTGTAAAAGTCTTTTAAAAAAATTATATTAGTCATTGTTAGAATAGAATAATTGGATTGTATTCTTAGATAGTTTAACTCATGTAGGCCCAAATTTATCCTAGGGACCTATTGTAATCATCTTTAGATTATTGTCTTTTTTGATGCTAATCAAACTTCTGACCCATATAGCAAAAGATCAACCTTTGGTTCATATATCTTCTTAAGCCCAAATCTGATATATCCCAGTGGTAAAAGAAGTAAACTATTGTAACCCATTCAACTATAGAAGCAAAGTATAGGAGTTTAACAGTTATTGCTATTGAAACTCTATGGATTTAATCTCTTTTACAAGAGTTACATGTCAATACTAACTATTTACCATCTATTGTGATAATCTAAGTACAATTGGTCTATCCCAAAACCCTATTCTTCATGCAAGAACCAATCACATGGAGTTAGATATCTTTTTTCTCCGAGAAGAAGTCATTATCAACAGCGTTAAAGTATAGATACCCTAACTAAAGCTCTAGCTCCAACAAGTTTTAAATCTCTTTGAGACAAGCTAAATGTGTTATACAATTCTTCTCAGCCACCTTCAGATTGTGGGGGGAATATTAGAATAGAATAATTGAATTATATTCATAGATAACTTAACTCATGTAGGCCCAAATTCATCCAATGGGCCTATTATACAGTAAGTTTCTTTCTTTTTTGTTTTAATTCTATTAGGTTTTTGTTGGGATTTACTGTGTGTTTGGAACAGCGTCAAAACATGATTTTTCACGTTTGACTGGAAGGAGAAAATAATAGCTTCTCCTTAAATTGCTACTTGGACGTGGAGAGAGACAAAGAAATTGAGTTTCAAAATTGAAACCAAACACACACTTAGTTATTTCTGAATTGATTCATGTTGCCTATATGTACTAGGCTTAATGTACTCTATTCATTTATACAAAATATGTAGTTTATATTATAATTATCTCTCTCTATGTCAAGAATTTTAATAGTCATTACATTATTATATAATTTTTAAAAATCCCAAAAACTTTTTTGTGACAAAATAATCTTTTAAGATTTCAATCCAACACACACTCCTCTTGTTGTAATCCAACGAATTTTGAAAAATAGTAGATGAATCACTATCCATCCATAAAATCAAATGGATGGATTGGATCAAATTCATCATTAAAATAGGATAAATGAATTGAGGCTCGTAACTATCAAGAGTGAATTTACTTAAAGATGGATTGAATAGATGATAAATAATGGATTATTTTGTCACCCATAAAGCAAGCAAACAAACCTGGTTTATAACCTAAATTAATAATACTTAATTTGGGATACAATTATTGCACTGAAATTCAAATATAAGACCTTTAGTATATTATCTTGACTATCCCACTAAGTTAACATAATAGTTTTTATTCATTCTTTATTTTTCTAATATTATTAAAAAAATTAACATGCTATAATATCTAGAAAAAATTGTAGTCTTCGCTATATATTTTAAAAAATTTAATTTACTAATAGAAATCATATATGTCAAATACTCAAATTTATTGAGAAATTTAAGAAATTCACCATCACCGGTTAAAATGATCATTATTTCATTAATGAAAGATAAAAATGTAAGATAGTATAAATCTATAAATATAAAATGATTAGTAAATGTTTACAGCATTAACTTTACATTTATATAATAGTAACATTTTTAAATTAAATTATTTTTATTATACGCTAATAATTATATATTTGAAGTACAAATATTATATATATATATATATATATATATATATATATATATATTCTATTATAATTAATTACATATTTTAAACTAAAAAATAAGGAATGAGAACAATTATCCAATAAATATCAACAATTACATAATATGCATAGAAATATTTAATACTAATA